GCTTTGATACTTTATTGAAAACATATAGCTTTCATTTTTCACAACAGTTGTCACGATTTCAGGTTTATACAAACCTGTAAACAAGATAATTTACCCCCTGAAATGTACATGAATTCTGCATCGGCCCTCATATCTATTCCTCATATGACGTCACAGAGACGTGCCGCTCCGATTGGTTGAAATTTGGTTCGTGGTGAGAATTGTGCACTGTTGTCAAAAAGGTCGATTTAAGTCAATTAAAGATCGAAATGAGTAGTTTTAATGGCGGGGTTTCATATATAACGATGCCAATTAGTGATTTATGTATTTGTACCCCCCTAGAGTATATGTGATCTTTAAATAAAAAGTACACAGGAGGACTCCATGGCTGTCATGAGAACACCTTGTTATTACCATCAACAGGCTACAACATCAATAGATAGATGTATTCTTTGATTGAATCCAACAGGTTTGAGAAACACGTCACCTCATGTCCCTTAATTGGTCTCCCATCAGTCATATGATAGGACTCAGCTACGAAGGTTACTTTTATGTTTTCCAGTGAAGCCTTCCAGTGTAGATGCCTGAGGCTGGTTTATGTGATTAGCCCATATTCCATTCAAAGTTTCCTCACAGTAAAAGGGTATCAACACCAGATGGTAATGCATAAGGTCTGGCTTGGGAGAAACATCTTTTTTTACTTGACAAGGGGTGGTTATTTATTAATGGAAGATATTTTGGTAGTAGCCTGTCCATTTAATTTCCTTATTAAATCAATAGTAGGTGCTACAAGGTTCTAGATCTTATTGGTGAAAAGAAAGGATCAGACGTTTCTCGTGGGCTGATGGAAGAACTATGCACAAGCAAGTGTAACTGAGGCATGTCATCAAATCAGGTTAAACAGCCTACCATCTTGAAGAAACTAACATCACACGTTGTGGAGGCTGTTGGTGTGTTGTGGAGTGTAGTGGAGGGCATTAGAGTTGTGGACAATGGTGGAGGGTGTTGGTGTGTTGTGGAGTGTAGTGGAGGGCATTAGAGTTGTGGAAATGGTGGAGGGTGTTGTTGTGTTGTGGAGTGTAGTGGAGGGCATTAGAGTTGTGGACAATGGTGGAGGGTGTCAGTGTGTTGTGGAGTGTAGTGGAGGGCCTTAGAGTTGCAGAAAATGGTGGAGGGTGTTGGTGTGTTGTGGAGTGTAGTGGAGGGCATTAGAGTTGTAGAAAATGGTGGAGGGTGTTGGTGTGTTGTGGAGTGTAGTGGAGGGCATTAGAGTTGTGGACAATGGTGGAGGGTGTTGGTGTGTTGTGGAGTGTAGTGGAGGGCATTAGAGTTGTGGACAATGGTGGAGGGTGTTGGTGTGTTGTGGAGTGTAGTGGAGGGCATTAGAGTTGTAGAAATGGTGGAGGTGTGTTGTGGTGGAGGTGTTGGTGTGTTGTGGAGTGTAGTGGAGGGCATTAGAGTTGTAGAAAATGGTGGAGGGTGTTGGTGTGTTGTGGAGTGTAGTGGAGGGCCTTAGAGTTGTGGAAAATGGTGGAGGGTGTTGGTGTGTTGTGGAGTGTAGTGGAGGGCCTTAGAGTTGTAGAAAATGGTGGAGGGTGTTGGTGTGTTGTGGAGTGTAGTGGAGGGCCTTAGAGTTGTAGAAAATGGTGGAGGGTGTTGGTGTGTTGTGGAGTGTAGTGGAGGCATTAGAGTTGTAGAAAATGGTGAGAGGTGTGTTGGTGTGTTGTGGAGTGTAGTGGAGGGCACTGAGTTGGTGTGTTGTGGAGCATTAGAGTTGTAGAAAATGGTGGAGGGTGTTGGTGTGTTGTGGAGTGTAGTGGAGGGCATTAGAGTTGTGGAAAATGGTGGAGAGTGTTGGTGTGTTGTGGAGTGTAGTGGAGGGCATTAGAGTTGTAGAAAATGGTAGAGGGTGTCGGTGTGTTGTGGAGCATAGTGGAGGACATTAGAGTTGTGGCAAATGGTAGAGGGTGTTGGTGTGTTGTGGAGTGTAGTGGAGGGCATTAGAGTTGTAGAAAATGGTGGAGAGTGTTGGTGTGTTGTGGAGTGTAGTGGAGGGCATTAGAGTTGTAGAAAATGGTAGAGGGTGTTGGTGTGTTGTGGAGTGTAGTGGAGGGCATTAGAGTTGTGGAAAATGGTGGAGAGTGTTGGTGTGTTGTGGAGTGTAGTGGAGGACATTAGAGTTGTGGAAAATGGTGGAGAGTGTTGGTGTGTTGTGGAGTGTAGTGGAGGACATTAGAGTTGTGGAAAATGGTGGAGGGTGTCAGTGTGTTGTGGAGTGTAGTGGAGGACATTAGAGTTGTGGAAAATGGTGGAGTGTGTTGAGGGTTTTGAGGGATGGGAGAGGGTGGTGCCAGAAAACTATGTGTTTGTGGGAGGTGGAGAATGCATTATCTATTGAGACTTCTGTCATATGTTAGTGTGTGTTTTCAGATGAACAAGTGACTTGCCTTGGTGTGTGTCTGGGCCTCCATGACACGTCTACCATTTTGTGAACAGCTCGCATCAGTAAGTGTTAAATGAATCACTATAGTACAAATATATGCTCATGATGTAGCCAGATTTGTTCCATTTCATTTTGGTGAAGTTTTCTTGTGAATATGGATGGGGTTTTGCCACTTTTACTTACTTGAGCTACCACAAATCATGTGAAGGAAAACAGGGAACCAAGTAACCATGTACCCTTGTTTCATAACTCAGTATGGTAGAAAAGGTCAACCTTTTTCATTGTCATCAAGGACTTTACTGAAGCTCAATAGTGAATTTAAAAACTAAGAAGTAGCTATTCCTAACATAAAATTGATAAACTTAACAATGGGTTGATAACTTTGTGATAAATTGTACTTGAACAAAATAATAAAAATAAACCCAAACAATCATGTGACAAAACAATAAATTAACGAAAGAGAACGGCCCCTCATCCCCTGAAACTGGTTCCACTGGGTACAAGGCATACATGAGGTGAACATGATGAGAGCAAGGGTCACTAATACGACTAGCTGTGACTCCCTACTATAGCTGTACAACAATTCAAAATGATAATTCTTGACAAAAGTACAAGATCTGTATCAAACCTTGCACTGCACCTTTCCTAGAAACAAAGAAGCCATTACCAAAATCTGGGAACACTCCATTAAATAATTGTACAGCTACTGGTTGAACAAGTTTGATGTGGAACTTTTTCCCAGAGTTCAAAAGATGTAATTTTTGAAAATGTTCAATAAATATAAAAACATAACTTTGCATTGCATCTCTCCTATAGATATGTATGGCGATCCCAAATTTGAAATAAATCCACTGAATAGGTTGAACAATACTTCCATATGGAACATTTGTTTAGTTCAAAATATGTAAATTGACACAACTCTTTAGAAAATTTGAAAATCGGAACCATGTTTTTACTTGAAAAGACTTATCTTAAATTGATGTAAATCTTGAAAAAAACAAAATAGCATAATCGAAATTTGCAATGCGACCCTCCTTTTGACAAATTCTAAAACATTCCAACCAATAGTTTTCATGTTATTGGTTGAACAAACTTTTCAAAGTTCAAATTTTAAATTGCTATAATTCTACAAAATAAAAATTACATAAACTATTATTATCAAAATTTGCACTGCACCTCTCTTTCTGACAAAGACAAAAACAAATTTGAAAACAATCCATCCAACAGTATTCAGGTTATGGGTTGAACAAAAATTTCTTCAGACATATTTAGGTCAGTGGTATAAAAAGTGCTACTTAGCCATGTGGGCCATGTGACTTTCTTGGAAGAATAATCACAGATTACTTGAAGAACCAGGAGTTTTTTCCAATGCTGAGTTTTTTCATCAGCTGACGACTCTCATACATGGCTTGCAGACACAAAGAGGATAAGTTCCACATGACATTATAGATTTCAGATTCTCTCAGTTAGTTTTACATATCATTGCACAAAATATATGGCTCAGTGTAACTGATAATAGTGATAATAGTTCTTTTCACACATCTTCAAATGTCAATAACATTATGGATCTTCAAAATTTGGTCCTGAAGCCTCTTCTTTGAATAATATTTGTGTGTACATTAACAGAAAGATTGTTTTAATGTTTTACAAAACTATGTTTATCATTCTTTAGTGAGTAAAGGCACTACAATGAAGATCAGATCATTATTTTTTGAAAATGTTTTCTATTATAGAAAATAAATCATTTCTTTTACTATCAAACGAAAAACTTGCCAATGTAATGTCTACTTTGATCAACAACAGATTCATCAACAACTAAGTTCCACCTCCAGTTGTTTCCAGGCAGCAAACTAACAACATTCACACTTAAGTCAAAAACTCCTTTCAATGGAGTTTACAAACAATGGATTGAGTTTTACTGGTTTCAGTAATGGAGCGGCAGCTGGGACAACAATTGTTTATCAATTTGACGCAGATGGGATAAAAAATTGTAGGTATATTTGTTTGCAGCAGCTTGGATAAATATTGTAGGCATATTTGTTTGCAGCAGCTTGGATAAATATTGTAGGCATATTTGTTTGCAGAAACTCTGACAAAAAATGCTTGTTTGCAGCAACCGTTTAGGAATAAGAATAAGAATTGTTTGTCTGTCCACAGGGACAACAATTATTTATTTGTTCTTTTGTTTGCAACTGGAACAACAATTGCTGGTTTGTTGGTTTGCAGCAGGTGAAGTGATGGGTTTTTAGTAGCAGCTGGGACAATTGTCTGTTTGTTGCAGCAGGAACAATAATTGGTTGGTTGTTTAAAACTTGAGGCAGAACCAACAACTGTTTGTAGCAGCTGGAGTGATGTTTGTTTGTGGCACCAATGGGCTTCAAGAAAGATGACTTACTATTCCAGCAATATCATACAAAGAATCTCAAGAATAGGTTTCAAGCATTGCCCATATGATGTGGAAAAGATTGTGATAGAATTTCACCTAATTGGCATGTCCTGCAGAAAACATTGGATGATAAGATGAAAATATTTTTATTAAAAAAATGAAAATTCTAAAACAAGATCCATGGAAACTGACCTGTGACATGAAGACCATCGGATCTCTGACACCACACATCTCTCTTCCCGTACCGATTCCATTCTGTGTGGAACCAGTAGAAGGAGTAGCATCTCTGGGCATGGCAAGGCTCTTCCTCCCATACCAACTCACTGCAGGGCACATTGTCTTGTCGAGGGTGGGCCAGGATAGCCGAGATCGAACCTTAACCCCAATATTCTGGGAGGAATCTAGGACAAAAAGTTGTCTTACAGTTTAAACATAACAACTCATTCAGACAGTCTGGGTGCATGGTACTTTTTAATTTACTGATTTCAAAAATTTCTGACTTGAACTACCAAGGCCCACATACACAAAGTTATCTTAGTATTGTAAGTGTCCATATCTAAGTATTTATGATGGTTGTTGAGCTTAGATGACTTTGTTGGGCCAGAAATTGATGTGTGTATTTATAATTGTCTGACTCCTTGTGATCCAATGAATGTGTAGTGTTTATAATAAAGCCAAAATGTTTGGGTCCTGATGGTCAGAAGAATGTGTAGTGTTTATAATAAGGCCAAAACGTTTGGGTCCTGATGGTCCAATGAATGTGTAGTGTTTATAATAAAGCCAAAACGTTTGGGTCCTGATGGTCCAATGAATGTGTAGTGTTTATAATAAAGCCAAAATGTTTATCCTGAAATGAAAGCCAAAAAGCCAAAATGTTTGGGTCCTGATGGTCCAATGAATGTGTAGTGTTTATAATAAAGCCAAAATGTTTGGGTCCTGATGGTCAGAAGAATGTGTAGTGTTTATAATAAGGCCAAAATGTTTGGGTCCTGATGGTCCAATGAATGTGTAGTGTTTATAATGAAGTACATATTGACTTCCAAACAGCAAAGGAAGATAATATTACACATGGGTGATTATGTGACTACCCTGCAGTGAATAGAACATCTACACAAAGTAGTATGTTATTATATTTGCCACATAAACAGAATTTGATTGTAGCAAACAAATAACATCAGCAACACAAATTGCAGGGTGTTAATTGTGACAGTTTGATTTCCTTATCTAAAGCCCCGTAAATATATAAAGAACTCTGAAGACTGACCCTGCATCTCTAATCCTAACCTTATCCTCATGACTGTCACTGTTAGAGTGAACCATGAGGACAACCCAGTAACCATTATCTGATATAGGCCACATGCTGCTGGCGACCAGTCTTCATATATAAGCAGCTGCAAGCTTCAAAAGAAAGTATTTTGTAGTATTTTTGTCACCATGTCTCCCCATGGCAAGGACTTCAACTCAACACCAACCAACCAATTGCTCCTTGAGGGACACTATGCTGTGTAGGTGACAAATTAAGACAGCTTTAACCTAGAGCTATAGCACTCAGAGGAAGAAGAAGTCAGAAACTCGATCATCAGGTCATTAAAAGTAGGAAAGTTTCATATTTCAAAATCCTTCAGGTCAAACAAATTTTATTTCCTGTTTTTCAAAACTGCAGTGTGGAGGCAATCTGAACATTATGAAAATAAAAAATAGGTTGATTTCTCTTTTAAAAAAGTATTTCTTATTTTTATGACAGTCTTTCAGCAAATTTAGGTTCAGTGAAACAACTCAACAAATGTGGCATCTCATAGAAGTGTTATAAGGTTTGATGAAGTTTCTGAGACACTGGGACCACCAGTCTCAGTACGGAACTGAATTACAGACATCGTGGGACCATATGAAACAAAACTGAGACGGTTCTTGTGAGATTATCACCACATGAGTCTCCCTCTAGTAGCAGGAAATAATATCACACGAGCTGATGGTTTGTCCCTTTAAGAGTGTGAGAGTACAAGACTGTACGCACCATGACTGAAATCTTGGCAGCTGATATGGCACTCGCTCCACTGGGACCATTTGGACATGAGACACTCTCCTGGACACGGCACATGGCATGGCTGAACTGTCTGGAAGATGAACAATGATAATCAGGAGAACTTCAAATCTTCTGTCAGCTAAAACTTTCTTCTGAGTCTGTAACAAAGCCTGCATCATTCAGGCAAATATATTCATCATATTGTCTTGAAGTTGTGGTATAAGTTTGTATCTCACACTGTGACTGTGGTATACGTTTGTATCTCACACAGTGACTGTGGTATAAGTTTGTATCTCACACAGTCACTGTGGTATAAGTTTGTATCTAAAACTGTGACTGTGGTATAAGTTTGTATCTCACACTGTCACTGTAGTGTAAGTTTATATTTCACACTGTCACGGTGGTGTAAGTTTGTATCTCACACTGTGACTGTGGTATAAGTTTGTGTCTCACACTGTGACTGTGGTATAAGTTTGTATCTCACACTGTGACTGTGGTATAAGTTTGTATCTCACACAGTGACTGTGGTATGAGTTTGTATTTCACACTGTCACTGTGGTGTAAGTTTGTGTCTCACACTGTCACTGTGGTATAAGTTTGTATCTCACACTGTCACTGTGGTGTAAGTTTGTATTTCACACTGTCACTGTGGTGTAAGTTTGTATCTCACACTGTCACTGTGGTATAAGTTTGTATCTCACACTGTCACTGTGGTGTAAGTTTGTGTCTCACACTGTCACTGTGGTATAAGTTTGTGTCTCACACTGTCACTGTGGTGTAAGTTTGTATCTCACACTGTCACTGTGGTATAAGTTTGTATCTCACACTGTGACTGTGGTATAAGTTTGTATCTCACACTGTCACTGTGGTATAAGTTTGTGTCTCACACTGTCACTGTGGTGTAAGTTTGTATCTCACACTGTCACTGTGGTGTAAGTTTGTATTTCACACTGTCACGGTGGTGTAAGTTTGTATCTCACACTGTGACTGTGGTATAAGTTTGGATCTCACACTGTGACTGTGGTATAAGTTTGGATCTCACACTGTGACTGTGGTATAAGTTTGTATCTCACACAGTGACTGTGGTATAAGTTTGTATTTCACACTGTCACTGTGGTGTAAGTTTGTATTTCACACTGTCACTGTGGTGTAAGCTTGTGTCTCACACTGTCACTGTGGTATAAGTTTGTATTTCACACTGTCACTGTGGTGTAAGCTTGTGTCTCACACTGTCACTGTGGTATAAGTTTGTATTTCACACTGTCACTGTGGTGTAAGTTTGTATTTCACACTGTCACTGTGGTATAAGTTTGTATTTCACACTGTCACTGTGGTGTAAGTTTGTATTTCACACTGTCACTGAGGTATAAGTTTGTATCTCACACTGTCACTGTGGTGTAAGTTTGTATTTCACACTGTCACTGTGGTGTAAGTTTGTATTTCACACTGTCACTGTGGTATAAGTTTGTGTCTCACACTGTCACTGTGGTATAAGTTTGTATCTCACACTGTCACTGTGGTATAAGTTTGTGTCTCACACTGTCACTGTGGTATAAGTTTGTATCTCACACTGTCACTGTGGTGTAAGTTTGTATCTCACACTGTCACTGTGGTATAAGTTTGTATCTCACACTGTCACTGTGGTATAAGTTTGTGTCTCACACTGTCACTGTGGTGTAAGTTTGTATCTCACACTGTCACTGTGGTGTAAGTTTGTATTTCACACTGTCACTGTGGTATAAGTTCGTATTTCACACTGTCACTGTGGTGTAAGCTTTCATCTCACACTGTCACTGTGGTGTAAGTTTGTATTTCACACTGTCACTGAGGTGTAAGTTTGTATCTCACACTGTCACTGTAGTGTAAGTTAGTATTTCACACTGTCACGGTGGTGTAAGTTTGTATCTCACACTGTGACTGTGGTATAAGTTTGGATCTCACACTGTGACTGTGGTATAAGTTTGTATCTCACACTGTCACTGTGGTATAAGTTTGTGTCTCACACTTTCACTTTGGTGTAAGTTTGTATCTCACACTGTCACTGTGGTATAAGTTTGTATCTCACACTGTCACTGTGGTATAAGTTTGTGTCTCACACTGTCACTGTGGTGTAAGTTTGTATCTCACACTGTCACTGTGGTATAAGTTTGTGTCTCACACTGTCACTGAGGTGTAAGTTTGTATCTGACACTGTAGTGTAAGTTTGTATTTCACTGTGGTGTAAGTTTGTATCTCACACTGTGACTGTGGTATAAGTTTGGATCTCACACTGTGACTGTGGTATAAGTTTGTATCTCACACTGTGACTGTGGTATAAGTTTGTATCTCACACTGTCACTGTGGTATAAGTTTGTATTTCACACTGTCACTGTGGTGTAAGTCTGATTTCACACTGTCACTGAGGTGTAAGTTTGTATTTCACACTTGTAACTGTGGTGTAAGTTTGTATTTCACACTGTCACTGTGGTATAAGTTTGTATCTCACACTGTCACTGTGGTATAAGCTTTCATCTCACACTGTCACTGTGGTATAAGCTTGTATCTTGCACTGTCACTGTGGTATAAGCATGTATCTGCCTGCTAGATATACATGGCTGACTTTTAAAGAACTTTAAAGCTATGCAATATTTCTATTAACTCCCTTGACTGACAAGTTAATTCAACATGAAGTGGCCTGTTTGGCCAATGTACAATGTACATGTGTTTTGTACAAAAATGTTGGTTAAATACACATTTATTCCTGGTAATTATTCACAGTGATTAATACATAGCTACAGTGGAGAAAGCTGCATCAATAATATGTAAGACGGGAACGATTCTCCATCACACAGTGAGTTGGTTGTCACAACTGGCTGTCTCCACACATAGTGCACATTTAAAGAAGATCATGTGTTTAATGAGAAAAATCCAAGAAACCTGAAGCTATGCAGTATGCCTCAACTTGCTGCCATTTCTCAATTGATCATTTATAATTTGTCAACCTTAACCTTGGCTTCAAGTGTATATTAACAGCTTTTGAGAAATATGCCCAGAGGGAGAAGAAAGCTTTACATTATTTGTTTGACAGCATTCACACCTGTAATTAGGTATACAGGTAAAATAAATGTGAATGTGGAAACAGTCTAATTCATGTCAGAATGAAAAACTGACTCTTTCGTTATGATGCATCCCTGGTGTCATCAATGATTTTCAGGATTCCATTCAATTCATATCACTTTACCACTATTTAAGCCTAGAGGAATCTGTTTCAGTAGATAAACTGGGATGGTTATTCTCTGGTATATGTACTTCATGTCTAAAATGTTTGTTAAGGGCAGGGAGGCTTTAAACATTATTATTTGGATGGAGGGCTTACAGTATCCATATTGTCATGCGTTTGAAGAACAAACAAATTGGAAAACATATTGGAGATTCAACAGTCGATTTTTATTGCTAAAGTTTATTGTTTGAACTGTTTGAAAAATATTTGATCAATATCATGTCAGAAAAAAAGAAATAACATGGCTTTTTATGCTCTAAGTTTTTATACATGTCGTCCCAATTTATTATAAAAGCCATCATTTCCCATCAGTGCGTTCAACGTAAAAGTATAAAATCATGGTAATTAAGCCTGCAAAGAGAGCTTCTAGTGCCCCAGGTGAAGTGTTATAGATGGCTTGACTAACCTCACATGACTAACCTCAAGGTTTTGTTCGGTAGTTCTCACTGATAAAACAGTACCTACAGTACCTATTTAGAAAAAAGGTAACATTTACAGGATCGTATTCTGAATGTGTAATGGAATGTTACAGTGACAAAACATTATGCATTTAAACAGTTCATTTATTATACAAGTTATTTTTAATTTAAAAGACAAACTATAAACAATGACCATCTCATACTACAGCAATGACACAGGACAGACTTTGCATGCTGGTCACCAGTCTACAACCACCTGACATGCCTCAGTGGACACAGCTTCAAAACCTTTCCATCTTCACAGGAAATACCTGCTGCAGCAACAAATAACCTTAAGTCAAGTTGTGTTAGAGTGTTAACTGTAGAATTTTGTCAAAGAAGGTCCACAAAATAGGAGAGACAAGAGGTACTACCTTTTCCGGTTTTCATTTTTCTGCTAATGGTTTAAAATCTAACCACCCAACTTTCTGTGCAATGCTGAAAGCTAAACACATCAGTATGCTGGAGAAAAAAGCAAGTCTCTGGGGTGTATTGAAGTGTTATATCAGTATGGTATAATGCCCTCTACTGGCCAACCCCTGTCTATCAAGTCACATCAGCCAAACACATCAGTATGCTGGAGAAATAAAGCAAGTCTCTGGGGAGTATTGAAGTGTTATAACAGTATGGTATAACGCCCTCTACTGGCCAACTCCTGTCTATTAAGCCACATCAGCAAGTGAAAACATCAATAATTTATGGTTATCTAAAAAAACAAATTAATAAACAGATCCAGGCTGAAACACATTGGGCACAATCCCACATTTGTAATAAAAAATGTTTGTCGTCTCTTTTTTTCTCTACAATATCTGTCACACAGCACGATACCGAACTGGTGCCATTAGTACAAATATCTTTCAGGAAGTAATTTTATAAAAACATACTTTTGAGTTACAAGTATTTTATTCATGCATTCACACACACATGTATCATAAATGGAAATTTACAGGGCTTACTTTCAGTGTAAATGACTTTTACACAAGTACTATTATCCTAAAACTAGTTTTATCCATTTGCTGCTGACTTCTGACATAACAATCTAAACTTAAAATGGTGACAAAGAAACCCTGCAATGATGAAATATCTCTTTCCACCTTGTACACACACACGTGAAATGTCCAACAATACACTCTTATGTTCATGGAATAGAAAAATTGTAGCTGTTCTTACAAGTAATGTCCATTTTTTAAATATAAGATATCAGTCAAATTACGGATTTTTTTCATACGGATTCCTTTTGTTATAAAGAATTGTGATCATGTGACTTTTCTATAAGGCTTCAAGATTTGTCTGAACAGATTCCCCATCGAAGCACTATTATTAGAATGTTTTGATGGCTGATAAAAGGATTTTCATCAAAAGAGAGCCAAAAAACCCTAGATTATTTCATTAAAATTGATTTTTCAACAAGATGTATGCCTGAAATGCATGCTTATGATCATTACTCAGAAATATCTTTTTATTCACTTTCCATTTTTTCTGACATATTTATGATTCATGTTCCTGAGGCCAAAAGCAGGGCTACTGACTGCTGACATGCTGACCAACCCAATGAGACACAAATTCTCCCAAATCCAAGAGATTTTGAGATTTTATATGAAAAGATATTCTGATCTTGAAGCTTATTCAGAAAAATTCTCATAAACTAGGTAATAGCTGTGAATGTTTTGCAAGTCATGAAAGCAGAAAAGCCTGGTTTTTGAGGGTTTACACAGGTGATAGGCCTCCAGCAATGCAATTCCCTGGACTGACTCAGGGACTCCTCTATGGATGGGGGATTATCTTGGAATAATTGTGCAGAGAGAATATTCAAGGACTGTGTCCTTGTCTGATGTGATGAATACGTCAGTGTGTCATAGATAACGAACAGTATTAGGACAATTTGTGTGACCTTATCTGTCTCGTAGGAAGGTAGCAGAGGAACTGAGGGCAATCTCTGTATGTGCATTAGAACATGATCTCCCATAAGAAGGGATGTTAGCAAGTTGATATCCTGCTAACACTTTATGTCTCTAAGTTATTAGAAGGAGAAGGAACCATATTTTTTCTAGAAACACCAGCATAAAGAATGACTGTCAATATCATATATTCATCCTGAAAAGTGCCTGAGCTGCTGCCATTGTGTGGCCTCGTTTATCAACAGAACAAACTAGCTACAGTCATGGAGATACCTACATGGCATCTGTCAGATACCATATGTCTTGTGAGTTGTTTCACAAGGTCGATATTGAGTGGTAATGGTATCAGGATTGCAGTGATTTGTTTCTTACATGTCAGAAAATCCCATCATTTGACCACTTCATCAATGAATAGTTTCCTATTCTCATGATCACAAAATGCACTGGTCATGAGTGACATCATCCAGCTCAAAGACTACTGCACACCTAGTGTGAGCCACCACAAAACAGGTCAATCTGTACATTATCAAGGGATGAGAATTATGCAAACTAGGTGTGTAAGAAATAACCAAACATTCACACTTCCTGTGACTCAATACCACTTACACACAATGTGTACGTATGGCTGGATCACACTACACTATCTCCTACTTCACATTTTTCAAAGTTTTGAAAGAAAATTCAATAATCAATTTTACTGTGGCCTGAGGGCACAAATTAAGGTCAAATAAAACAAGAGTCATCAGAAGATGACATATCCCCCCGGCCCCCACATCTTTGAAAGAACAAATCATCTGACAGTTACTTAAAGTCCAGCTTGATATTAGACTAAGTGCAAGTCGTTTCCATGGAAATCATGAAAAAAATAAATGACAAAAATCTGCAAATAGCAAAAGGCACCACTTCAAGATCTGCCTCACATATCTGCCAAGTTTTACTGAAAGATATTAAGAAGTTTTTGAGTTGTGCTCCGGAAACGAAACCCACCCCACCCTTTTGGGACTAAGTCCGAATCGTTTCCATGAAAACCAGGAAAAATAAAAATGCCAAAAAACTGCAAGTAGCACAACTTAAGGTTCTGTTGATATATCTACCAGGTTTTGTTGAAAAATATTGAACGGTTCTTGAGTTATGCTCCGGAAACGAAGCCCACCCTCCCTTTTGGGATTAAGTCCGAATCATTTCCATGAAAATCGGGAAAAATTAATATGCCAAAATTCGGCCAAATAGCAAAAGGCACCACTTTGGCATCTGCCTCACATATCTGCCAAGTTTTGCTGAAAGATATTAAGAAGTTTTCCAGTTGTGCTCTGGGAACAAAACACTTCCCTCCTTTTGGGACTTAGTCCGAATCGTTTCCATGGAAACCGGGAAAAATAAAAATGCCAAAAATATGCAAACACCAAAAGGCACCACTTAAGGTTCTGTTTGATATATCTACCAAGTTTTGTTGAAAAATATTGAACGGTCCTTGAGTTATGCTCCGGAAACGAAGCCCACCCCTCACTTTTGGGACTAAGTCCGAATCATTTTCATGGAAACCGGGAAAAATAAAAATGCCAAAAATCTGCAAATAGCAAAAGGCACAACTTAAGGTTCTGTTTGATATATCTACCAAGTTTTGTTGAAAAATATTTAACTGTTCTTGAGTTATGCTCCGGAAACGAAGCCCACCCCTCTTTAAGACTAAGTCCAAAACGTTTCCATGGAAACCGAGAAAAAAAAAATGACAATAATCTGTAAATAGCAAAAGGCACCACCTTAGGTTATGTTTGACATATCTACCAATTTGAGTTATGCTCCGGAAACCAAATGATTACGGACGGACGGACGGACGGACGGACGGACGGACGGACGTGGCGACGACTATATCCCCCCGCATTACAAGCCGGGCGGATAAAAATGAGAAAAAAATGAAACAGTTTTTGAAATATTTAAGTATATGGCACCACCAAGTTTGTGATTCATCATGTTCAATTTGACTTGTATGTATTTTCTTCACAAAGAATAACTGGTGCTTATGTATGGGTGTGTATGCAGTCCAACAACACAAGGTAGGGAATACGCAATTTTATCACCCAAATAATGATAACAACTAGCAGATTGTTAAAAGATGTTTCTCTCGTCTGGAGGACACCTTCAGCATGAGACAGGCTGCTGTGGGAAGATGCCCGATGCATTCCCAGAGTCACAAATATGACTTTGTAGTCATCACAGACTGCTCTACTGTATAATTAGAATGGTCTACATCTAATACAACAGTGGATGAGTGGGTTTGGAAACCCTTAATGCTACACTGAATAGTGAAGGACATGACCCTGACAGATCATAGGATCAAAATAAGGTAAATCTGTGTTTTGATCCCTGGCATTGTAAAGGGTGGCAACTCTGATAGTGTCCTAAAACAAACACTCGTCACCTTGTGCAACCAATGAAGTTAAAATCTCTCATGATATTTTATGAACTGATCACTGAAAATCAGTGATGACACCATGTTTTTGTTTGAAGGGTGAGTATGTCCTGTCCGACCACTAGCACCTGTCTATTACAGGATTTGCCTTAACAACTAAAAGTTGACTGGGTCCAAACTGTAGATACACATAACTTGAACTATGTTGAACTTATGTCCAGGTCTTTGTTTGTGTTTATCAAATCCTACCTTCATAACCAGTTTGGCCACATCGACTGGGCACTTGTTGGTTTCAACTGCCACCCCGTCTTCCCCAACACAGGAAACATTACGTCTCTGTATGCTCTCTCCACACACTCCAGTCTCTGCCTCACATTCTGACCAGTCAGAGACCACCCAGCGGTAGCAGCCTTTCTTGAAGCAAGGTTTGGACTGGCGCAGCTCTCTCTCTGGAGGACATCTTCGACCATTACCAAGAGGGTTCTCAATCACTGTCCTGTTCCTCTGTGTAACACCTGGAAGAAAGAGTGAGTGAGTGAGTGAGTGAGTGAGTCAGTCAGTCAGTCAGTCAAGCAGTCAAGCAGTCAAGCAGTCGGTCAGTCAGTCACTCACTCACAATAGTGAGTGAGTGAGTGAATCGGTCGGTCGGTTGGTCGGTCGGTCGGTCAGGCCCATCCTTGTTGGGGGCCACTGATAATAAACTGTAAGAATAATGAAATAAAAGCAACAAGCATCTTTGCATATTCAAGAACCAAAGTCCATTGTACAATTCCAACTACACCACCCGCATGTGTTTATGAATCACTTTCACACAGAGATAATACTCAGTGTTTGTGAAAAACAAATTGACCTCTATCAAGATTCATTTAATGACTCTCACCCTAGAATCCTCATGTGAGTGTTTTTTCACAGGTATGTGTGCACAAAAATACATAATTAAACACTAGGAATTAGAAGATTTTATTGCAAACAAAATTACTGTTACGTACCAAGACCACATTCTGTTGTGCATGGTGTCCAGTCTGACCAGTCAGAGAGCAGACAGTCGTTATCACATGGTATCTCACACGACACAACCATGGACTCGATCACTTCACCCTGGATCTGGAACAAAGAGAAGTCATTCAAAATTTGGCTCATAAACCTTGCTATCCAACAGTAAGTGAGTGAGTGAGTTAGTGAATTAATCTCATCGGCATTAGTTCAGCCATGTAGCAATAGGACTAAGTTTACACCTATACCCAAGTCCATTATACAGTTGATTTTATACTTAAAAGCAACTTTTATGAACACATGATACTAAGCACAGTGGAATCAAACAGGCAGATTAACACTTCATATTCCATGAATATATTGTACAGGGACATGGATGAATGCACTCTCAAGTTCATAATTTCTTCCACATTCACATTCATAATTTCTCTTTACTTCAAATTCTGTCTGTACTGGGACACAATGGTATCACAAGTTCTCTCCCCTACCTCCACTGATGTACGTTCCAGTGGATGTTTGTACCACACAACAGATACCACTGTACTGGGACACAATGGTATCACAAGTTCTCTCCCCTACCTCCACTGATGTACGTTCCAGTGGATGTTTGTAACACACAACAGATACCACTGTACACAACAGATACCACTGTACTGGGACACAATGGTATCACAAGTTCTCTCCCCTACCTCCACTGATGTACGTTCCAGTGGATGTTTGTAACACACAACAGATACCACTGTACTGGGACACAATGGTATCACAAGTTCTCTCCCCTACCTCCACTGATGTACGTTCCAGTGGATGTTTGTAACACACAACATGTACCACTGTTCTGGTCAACATGTAGGGTGTCTGATGAAGGGAAATATACCTCCAGACAACCCACATGGGGGGGTACAATGTGTGAGGCCATTTCTGGTGTGCCCCACCATGATATTGCTGGAATAGTACTAAAAGTGGTGTAAAACTCAACTCACTCACTCACTAAACACTGACTAGGTGACTATAGACTAGTACATTTCAATTAAGTCCTTGGTTCATCTATAGAAAGGCATTACAGTAAGTACTTGTCAAAAGGGAAAATAATATGGTTACTAAGGTAACTGACTGAAATAGCTGCACTCACTTTTGTACAGTGGATGTTGTTGACCGTCCGGCCGCTCTCATCTCGACACCATGCGTACCTCTCCTTGTGTCCCACACCACACTCATCATGCCCGCTGTTCACCAAACACGATGTCCACTCAGACAGCTGCCAGGAGTACTCGATACAGTTGTCTCCCCTGACACAGGGTCGCTGTTCCGCCATGTGTGTGCAGTTGTTGTGGGACTTGATAAAGTATGATGCTGGTTTCCGCAGAAGTTTACGAGACCTTCTCTGGATCTGGCGGCCATTACATGGCTGTAACAGACGGCTATACATTACATTATGTTCAATGCTGTTGTAGCATGTATTTCTAGTAATTCTCACTGACAATAATAAATTCAGATTCATATTCTTACTGAACTTGTCTTCACATACACATATCATTTTAAATGATTCCAAATACGACCAAATATCCTATGACCTACACTAGGTGATTCTGAGGGATGTTCTGATGAGTCAATTCTTGATGAATTCTAAACCTGTTAAAGTGTCCTACTGATCCTAGACTGAATATTTGCTACTACCACCAACATCTGCATTTGAGGAGGATCCAATCAGGCTCGCCCCATGAGCTTCCATGTTCACCTCTACGACCTTCTGTCTTGTTGCCACATGACTCCCCCAAGAGTCTCTTTATTGCCACAACAATTGTCTGGCACAGGCCAACCTCAATCCTAACTATAAGGCAATAAAAGCTGGGGATACTGTAGGCCTAAGTTCAGATGAGTAGCTACATTGATGTAATCTAAAATCTTCACAGTGCCTTTATCAACCCCAATCCTAACTACATGGCAACAGAAGTTGGGGCTATTGTAGGCCTATGTTCTGATGTGTTGTTACATTGATGTAATCTAAACTCTTCACAGTGCCCTTACCAACCCCAAACCTATTTATATGGCGATAGAAGCTGGGGCTATTGTAGGCCTATGTTCTGATGTATTGTTACATTGATGTAATCTAAACTCTTCACAGTGCCCTTACCAACCCCAAACCTATTCATATGGCGATAGAAGCTGGGGCTATTGTAGGCCTATGTTCTGATGTATTGTTACATTGATGTAATCTAAACTCTTCACAGTGCCTTTATCAACCCCAATCGTATTCATATGGCAATAGAAGCATTTGTCCTGATGGGTCCTTGATGAAGTGTAATCTCATTACAGTGTCACACTGACCTGGGTGCAGGCTGTCCATGGTGTCCAGTCACTGAACACACAGTCCCCAGGGCAGGGCAGTAGACAAACTTGGTTCTCTTGTGGACTGTCATGCTGATCACACAGACTGTCATCGGGGAACGTTCCAGCCAGTCGTGTCTCTCCGATAGTTTTACACCTGAGAGGACAGATACATTTGGTCATCAACATGGTATGTTTATTTGTATAAAGATATGGTCATGTAGTTTGAGTGAGTGAGTGACTGACTGAGAGTGAGTGAAGAGTTTGAACAGTGCTCCAGTCAAATCACAGCACATCAGCTTAATGTGGCAGAAAAGCCAAAAGCCCTGTGTTTTTTATCAATCTTACCTTCATACCTCGTTTGGCCACATCCCATGAGAACGGGTGTGGTGCTGACAAATGGAGACATATAATGAAGCTCAAATCAGGATTAAAACTCATGATTCAAAGGACCATCTGTACGGAGAATTGTGTAGATGATTGGGCCACCGGGTCCCCGATGGAGGGGAATCAAGGTGAGTAATCTCTGTCATTGATTTTAAATATTTAGAATGCTGAAGTGCAGACTTTACCACTTGGTCAAAACACAAGAGGATTAAGATCAGGGTATATGTAATGTGATCTTGATGGCAAGAACAACAGGAGCATCTCCACACTATAATGCAACGCCCCCACCTCAACACCACAAATACCAATACCAAATTGTCCACATCCACACTCTGTAACTGACCTGACAGATCTCGACTGTGTTCCATGTCCACATCCGGTCCCCGTCATGGGGCGACACGACCCCCACTTAGATGCCTCCCAGACATGGTACTCACAGGGTGACCGACACACTCGACTCTGGGTCTCCTGAATCGGACAGCACAAACATGGAAAATACGTAATTGTCATTAGTTAAATTGAGGTTTAAAAAAATTACAAGTTTTTCTGGTTCAACCAGCATCACCATGGAAGCCAACATTTACAGTAATCTAACTGATTTAGTTCCAAATATAAATTAGGATTAAAATAACTACAGATAACTCCATGGTCTAAAGATAGTGGTAGTTTGATTTCCGAATGTACCATATCAAAAGATGTTAAAAGATAATTTGTATTTTAAAGAATATAACAAAATAAACAATGCCACATGGCTGGAGTATTGCTAAGTGCAACATTAAACAAAACAAACAACAAAATAGAAAATAAAAACTTTGATTGTTTCTGATAAGAAGCATTTGTAATAATACAATCATTGAAATGAATTTCAAAATTATTTACCATGGAATAATTTGACTGACTCCAAAATAAGCATTTATCGGTACTATTTATCGAAAGTGTACAAGCAAATGTCTACGAAGGCATGCATGTCATCTGAGGATCCTGCTAGTGCTTACCTTCCGGGTGCCATCTAGTGAAGGGCACTTCCTGCCCCCATCAGCTGGCTGTGTTGCGATGCTGCGGAATCGTAGCTGCATTCCAGACCCACACTTGACACTGCACTGTGACCACTCGCTCCACTCGGTCATCTCACAGTCCACCGGACAGGGCACGATACACATCTCCTCCTTGTACTCTGAGGGAAACAAGACATCACCTGACTGTTCTCTGTGTTCTAATTCATACCTGTACCTTTAACATTAAACATGTGCCATTAAGGTCATATAGATCTGATACCCAATTCCTTACAAGGTCTGGAGTCACTGATGTTCATACAGATCAAGTACCCAATTCTTGTCAAGATCTAGCATCTGTGATGCTCATATAGATCAGGAACTCAATTCCTGTGCTTCACTTTAGGGCACGACTGTAGTCCTAGAAACTCTCAGTCAAGCTGACAAACATGGTGACCATTGCTGCTCAACTTCACTGGACCGCAAGCAGCAGTGTGGCACAGTATATACAGAGAAAAACATCCCTTACCATTCAATACCAGATAGAGTAAAGTAACATATTATGATGAATACACTTCAAGAAGTACTGAACCAGAGCTGATACTAAATGAGAAATTACTGAAACATTTATGAAAAACAGAGTAATGTCCCTTGTGTACATCTAGATATTCTGAATAGAGTCCTGGACTAAAGAGTGTTCTTTTTTACAATATCTCAAATAATTTGTATTGCCCCCTCCTACCTGAGTTGAAGCATTTATCTGCACTTTCCATATCCCTCCTGTCATTCTGACATGCGTAGGCCTTGAACCTTCTTCCACTTCCACAGTATGCTTGTGTGGGATCACTCCTTGTGGACTCATTGGCATCTCGGTGACGAATAGACTTGAGAGACATCTGTGCAAACCTCTGTTTGACGTCTTCCTTTTCGTCCAGGATACAGTCTGACCACCCACCAATCACCATGGGAAGCAGCTGACTACACTTGCACTTCTCCTGCTCATCAAGCTGGTACTTGTGTCGACAAACAGGATGGAAACGACTTTCACCTGGAAACAGGTATACAGGTAAGTCATTCACATGAACACTGCACTGAAAGACAGGTATATTTCTTAAATGATACATTGCTATGGAGATGTTGGTTTCCAGCTATTTACAACGTCAGCAGTACATTTTGTGCTGGTTATAAATATTAAAAAGACTTCACAAAGAGAAGTTCTTCCCAATGGCTCAGTAGGATATCACAAATATTGTTTTGAGAGTTACGTTACCTAAAAGTTTGCGTGTCCGGAATCTGTAACCATTGCACCCCCCTACACATCTCTCCCATGGTGACCAGTCAGAGATGTGACACTCCTTGGCACATGCCACGTAGCACTTTTCCACGGTCACCGGCATTGCGCCAATTTCCAGCAGGCATGTGTTGATAGGGTGTTTGGTTCCGTTACCATGGTGACACGAAATGTCTAGGAAATAAATGCAGAGACATGAATAGCTTTATATAGTAAGATTGATAGTTATTCTTCACTATCCCCATCCTGTCAGGACTGAGGTTTCACTAGGTGAGGGTTGGTGACCAAATTTGCAATCAGTTGATCCCAATCAGGTTCATCTCTTGCAGAGACATCTTGTCACAAATCACTCTGGGAGTCAGCTAGATGCTAAAATAATTGTTTAAACATGTCCACACATATAAACGTAAACACTGACAAAGCTGAGACCGACTTACTCCGAGCGCGAAGTCCGTTGCCGCAGTAAGGGACGACAGGTGGGAGGATGCAGCTACTCCAGTTAGACTTGTGCCACTCATACTGCTCGCAGATCGGCAGGTGAACACACTGTCGCTCCTCAAACAGACTGTTGGGGCATGGAGTACCACTGCCTTCTGGAAACTGCAAGATGTAGCGCTGACGTTGCTGTGTGGGAAGGATTTGGCGGGCTAGAAACATAAAAATTATACAGGTATATTTTATATGCATATAACTTTCTGTAAATACTGATACCTTGAAATGAATAAAAACAGTCTGGTTTGTCCAGAGATGGAGAAGCATAGGAAACGAATATTTTAGGAGTGCTTCTTTAGGAGTTTAGTAGTGTTACTTTCAGTGTTCAAATTACATTATTACTGACCAAAGTACTTTGTAGATTAACCTGCTTGTTAAGCTTTTAATAGATTTGAAGGACACATCTTAATGGAATTCTTTTCCCCAAAAAGTTATGTCAACCCACAGTTTTACTTTCATTTTATATTTAGACATCCCAGTCAACATTACAATTAACATGATACGATTGGTGTTACATGTAATCTGACCATCAACATGGCACCACCCACATCTGTTAATTTTTAACATGGCCATCAAATAGGTGTGTCCACACCTGTTGCATGTAACCGGACTATCAACATTGCAGTGCCTAAAAAAAGTTCTGTCAACCCACAGTTTTACTTTCATTTTATATTTAGACATCCCAGTCAACATTACAATTAACATGACACGATTGGTGTTACATGTAACCTGACCATCAACATAGCACCACCCACATCTGTTAATTTTTAACATGGCCATCAAATAGGTGTGTCCACACCTGTTGCATGTAACCAGACTATCAACATTGCAGTGCCTACCCCTGATGTTGAGACACTCCACTCCACAGCTGGACCACTCTGCCCACTCGGTGACCAGACAGTCTTTAGGACACTCAACTGTACAAGTCTGGGACTGCTTGGGCTTCACCCGATCCTCACACCTATAAACAAACAATGGAATAACATGTACAACACTTGAACACCACCATACGTAACAACTTACATATTGTAGAACGTAACAACTTACATATTGTAGAACGTAACAACTTACATATTGTAGAACGTAACAACTTACATATTGTAGAACGTAACAACTTACATATTGTAGAAACTTACATATTGTAGAACGTAACAACTTACATATTGTAGAACGTAACAACTTACATATTGTAGAAACTTACATATTGTAGAACGTAACAACTTACATATTGTAGAACGTAACAACTTACATATTGTAGAACGTAACAACTTACATATTGTAGAACGTAACAACTTACATATTGTAGAAACACATAACAATACTGAGTGCCCTGTACTCCTTGGAGACCAAACATGAGTTACTTCTCTGGGAGTGAGTGAGTTTTGGTTTTATGCCACTTTTAGCAATATTCCAGCAATATCACGGCAGGGGACACCAAAAATGGGCTTCACACATTGTACCCATGTGGGGAATCGAACCTGGGTTTCCAGCATGACGAGCAAACACTTTAACCACTAGGCTACCCCACTGCCCCTACTTCTCTGAGACCAAGCACAGGATACTGTATGACATCTAAGCATAGTTTACTGTATGGTACCAAGCACAGGATACTGTATGACATCTAAGCACAGTTTACTGTATGGTACCAAGCACAGGATACTGTATGACATCTAAGCACAGTTTACTGTATGGTACCAAGCACAGGATACTGTATGACATCTAAGCACAGTTTACTGTATGGTACCAAGCACAGGATACTGTATGACATCTAAGCATAGTTTACTGTATGACATCTAAGCATAGTTTACTGTATGGTACCAAGCACAGGATACTGTATGACATCTAAGCACATTTTACTGTATGGTACCAAGCACAGGATACTGTATGACATCTAAGCATAGTTTACTGTATGACATCTAAGCATAGTTTACTGTATGGTACCAAGCACAGGATACTGTATGACATCTAAGCATAGTTTACTGTATGGTACCAAGCACAGGATACTGTATGACATCTAAGCATAGTTTACTGTATGACATCTAAGCATAGTTTACTGTATGGTACCAAGCACAGGATACTGTATGACATCTAAGCATAGTTTACTGTATGGTACCAAGCACAGGATACTGTATGACATCTAAGCACAGTTTACTGTATGGTACCAAGCATGGGTTACAGCTTGTGGACAAACATACGTTACTGCACAGGAACCAATCACACTGACGGAGTTTGGTTTTACACCGCTTTTAGCAATATTCCAGCAACATCACGGCGGGGACACCAGAAATGGGCTTCACGCATTGTACCCATGTGGGGATTTGAACCCAGGTCTTCGGCGTGATGAGCCAACGCTTTAACCACTAGGCTACCTCACGGCCCCTAATAACGCCTTGAACAGGAGGATCCTGGCACTAACAGTAAACAGATCTGCCACATCACAAGTTACCCTATCAACACAACACTGAGTCAGACAATCAGGTGATCTGACTCAAGTTACCCTATCAACACGATTCTGAGTCAGACAATCAGGTGATCTGCCTCAAGTTACCCTATCAACACGATTCTGAGTCAGACAATCAGGTGATCTGCCTCAAGTTACCCTATCAACACAACACTGAGTCAGACAATCAGGTGATCTGACTCAAGTTACCCTATCAACACGATTCTGAGTCAGACAATCAGGTGATCTGCCTCAAGTTACCCTATCAACACAACACTGAGTCAGACAATCAGGTGATCTGACTCAAGTTACCCTATCAACACGATTCTGAGTCAGACAATCAGGTGATCTGCCTCAAGTTACCCTATCAATATGACACTGAGTCAGACAATCAGGTGATCTGCCTCAAGCTACCCTATCAACACGACTCTGAGTCAGACAATCAGGTGATCTGACTCAAGTTACCCTATCAACAGAACCCTGGCACTGACAGTCAACAGATTGTGTCCATTGTGTCCCCCTTACCTTCGCTCCAGCACAGTTTGGCCCAGGTGGTTGTAGCATCGCACATCCCGCTGCTGGATGCCCCGCCCACAGATCTGAGTGGACTTATCCAGCAGACAATTGCCCCATTCTCCATGCTTCCACCGGTACTTGGCACACTCCACCAGGGCGGGGCACGGCTCCTCCTCCTTCAGAAGGGGGGCACAGGGTTGACCATCTGTAACACACACTCAGTGTCATCACCTTGGGATACCCAGGATGTTCTACAGCCATAAGGGTAAAAGATCACCTGAATTAAGATGAGACAATGCACCATATTTGAATTATAAAACTGGATTGATATTGTGTTAGTTATCTTCAGAGACACCATAGCAGGAATTGCTTATATCAAGTTTCAGACACACAGAAAATACTGATTGATAGACAACCTAATGGATGCCTGCCACACTGTGTGTTTTGACAAAACACAAAAATTGCTCAAAATTTCAGAGAAACATGTCAACTCCAACTCATTCAGTTAATACCAACATGACTTAATTATGATTTTAGTACATTAATTTTTCTACCACCATTTTAATTTAATTGATTTTCAGTCAAGTGAGCTAAAATGGTGGCAAAAAGTTAATATATAATTAAATTCATGCTGGTATTTGTTCCCTGAAAGTGTTTGCAATTAGTATGTATCCCATGATAGGTGAATACACACTTCACAAATGTACCGGTAGTTAAAGACTTGCATACTGGTGTAGTTGATTGGTCACGGCTTTAACTTAGCTTCTTGTGAGTTGTTGAACATAATAAGCTCAATGTTCATGCTTCTACATCTGGTCTGGTGGTGTATTAGATCTTGTCCACCCTCCAGTGACACAGACCCTCTTGTCCCAGACTGACGACACTCCCCTACAACCCCCTCTCTCCCACTGAATGCTAGAATGCTTCTCTCCCCTCTCTCCTACCTTTGCCACTGAATGCTTGAATGCTTCTCCCTCTCCCTGCTCTCCCCTCTCTCCCACCTTTGCCACTGAATGCTAGAATGCTTCTCTCCCCTCTCTCCCACCTTTGCCACTGAATGCTTGAATGCTTCTCTCCCCTCTCTCCCACTGAATGCTAGAATGCTTCTCTCCCCTCTCTCCCACTGAATGCTAGAATGCTTCTCTCCCCTCTCTCCCACCTTTGCCACTGAATGCTTGAATGCTTCTCTCCCCTCTCTCCCACTGAATGCTAGAATGCTTCTCTCCCCTCTCTCCCACTGAATGCTAGAATGCTTCTCTCCCCTCTCTCCCACTGAATGCTAGAATGCTTCTCTCCCCTCTCTCCCACTGAATGCTAGAATGCTTCTCTCCCCTCTCTCCTACCTTTGCCACTGAAGGCTAGAATGCTTCTCTCCCTCTCTCCTACCTTTGCCACTGAATGCTAGAATGCTTCTTTCCCCTCTCTCCTACCTTTGCCACTGAAGGCTAGAATGCTTCTCTCCCCTCTCTCCCACTGAATGCTAGAATGCTTCTCTCCCCTCTCTCCTACCTTTGCCACTGAAGGCTAGAATGCTTCTCTCCCTCTCTCCTACCTTTGCCACTGAATGCTAGAATGCTTCTCTCCCCTCTCTCCCACTGAATGCTACTGAATGCTAGAGATGCTTCTCCCTCCCTTTGCCACTGAATGCTAGAATGCTTCTCTCCCCTCTCTCCTACCTTTGCCACTGAATGCTAGAATGCTTCTCTCCCCTCTCTCCTACCTTTGCCACTGAAGGCTAGAATGCTTCTCTCCCCTCTCTCCTACCTTTGCCACTGAAGGCTAGAATGCTTCTCTCCCCTCTCTCCCACTGAATGCTAGAATGCTTCTCTCCCCTCTCTCCTACCTTTGCCACTGAAGGCTAGAATGCTTCTCTCCCCTCTCTCCTACCTTTGCCACTGAAGGCTAGAATGCTTCTCTCCCTTCTTCTGGTGGTTGGGACACTGCCAGTACAAGGTTCGGGGCAGGTGGTCCAGTATCCCCATTCAGACAACACACAGTCATTCCAACATGGCACGTAGCAGTCCTCCCAGTCCTCCGTCCGATGTTCGTGTTCCCAGCACAAGCTCTCAGACACTCTATCCTGGAGGCAACAACAAAAACTTGTAAAATGTTACCTTTCCCTCATAACTGAAGCCCTCCACAAGAAAACACCTCTATAACACAATCCCCCTTCTGTCATATGAACCCATCTCTTAGCCATCATACTGTAGCTCTCTGAACTTGTTTTAAGCTGTAGACTCTGAAAGTTCAAAATTATGTCCAATGGTTCCTTCCCTGCCCATCCAATTCTCCCATCTCTGCCCATCCAATTCTCCCATCTCTGCCCATCCTATTCTCCTATCTCTGCCCATCCAAGTCTCCCATCTCTACCCATCTGAATCTCCTATCTCTTCCCATCCAAGTCTCCCATCTCTGCCCATCCAAGTCTCCCATCTCTGCCCATCCAAGTGTCCCTTTTCTGCCCATCCAAGTCTCCCATCTCTGCCCATCCAAGTCTCCCATCTCTGCCCATCCAAGTCTCCCATCTCTGCCCATCCAAGTCTCCCTGCTTCTGCCCATCTCTGCCCATCCAAGTCTCCCATCTCTGCCCATCCAAGGCTCCCGTTTCTGCCCATCCAAGTCTCCCATCTCTGCCCATCCAAGTCTCCCATCTCTGCCCATCCAATTCTCCCATCTCTGCCCATCCAAGTCTCCCATCTCTGCCCATCCAAGTCTCCCATTTCTATCATCCCATTCTCCCATCTCTGCCCATCCAATTCTCCCATCTCTGCCATCCCATTCGTATCTCTGCCCATCCAGTGTTCCCATCTCTGCCCATCAAGTGCTCCGTATACTCACCCCTCTCCTGTCAATGCAGACACTGTGCCTTGTGCGGTGACCCACCCCACATCCACCCCTCTGGGATGGCTCACAGGCCCCGAGGGTCACATTCCAGTGGAAGCATGCTTTGGGGACACAAGACTGAGTCTCACTCAGATGGGGACATGGGTTACCCCCAGGACCAGGCAGGGTCAGGATTTCTCGGGTCCTGTAACGTTTTCCTGAAATAGATATAGTAGTTTGCATGGATATGTACTGTTAACTCCTAGCTGGACAGTCAGCTATCTAAAGGTATTTCTTTATCATTTGACAACGACCTCTGAAGGTAGATTCTTTAAATACTGGCGCTGTAATACCAATACCGCCATTATCCTGACACATCAGTAACACTTTAGGTTCCAAAGTGGGGTCCATTTGCACAATCTTGTATTGGCACACACATGCCTGAACTCAATTTCATTCATGCACAATACATATCTATCAATGCTAAGGAGCTACAAATGTAAATAACTGAGTTTCTAGACCAACAAAAGAACATCTCTAGCTCTACCTGTAATGTCTGGCAGTGTTCTTTTCTTGCCGTTGTCGTCACAGGACCGATCTTCACACTGGGTCCAGGTGGTCCACTGGGACACTGAGCAGTGCCAGTTGCAGTCCACGTGACATCGCTGTGAGATGAGTGGGCGCTTGGCGATGTCACATCGCACATCCGACACAGGACGCTCCAGACCCTCCTCTGGAACACAACAACAGGAGGAAATATGATCTTCTATAATAGAAACATGATGATTATCCCATCATCAAACACCTAGAATGGGATTGTTACTACTCAAACAGTGGCTTCAACTAAAACTTGGAAGACTGGTGCCAAGGGCCATATCTCTATACAACACAACTTGTTTGGAAAATGACATCCTTGTTTCCATGGGAATTTCTGATAATAAATGGACGGATGACAGGACAGAGGGACAGATGGATGAAATGAAGGAAAGATGGACACAGACCAAACCAATACATATTTCACTTATGACAGCAGGGGCGGAAATAACCCACTGGCCGACGCTCCAGTCCAGTGTTTTTTTCTGTCGGGCTAGCAAATTTGCATGTCACGCTGTACCGGTGTCCAGTTGACTTCCAATGTCAATTATGTTATTTATTTAAAAAATCAACAAGAAAATCAGCCAGTAAAGTGGAAAAATTATCCGGGCAAGTGATTTTACATGTGCCAGTGTACCGTAGTACATTAACAATTTTAAAGTTATTTCCACCCCTGGACAGGAAGAATTTTATTCTTACATACAACCAAACATCAATTTTTTTGTACAACTTATCAGGATCCTATTACAATGCTTATAGAGGAAAGAATGTGAGATTTGAGTTTGCCACTGTTGTCCACCATATGTCAGACATGACACTCAGTTATGCAGTCTTGGGTCAAATACACATCCATGGGTATAGGGCTAATAAATCTGAAAACACAATCAGGCGAATTCTATGATTTGAACCCATGATCACAGCAACTTCTGGTGTCTAAGACAACTGGGCCACCCTGCCCATGTGGAGGAAGGAAGAACTGATACTGACCATCCACCTCCACACAGATGGCCTTCCTGCTCTGTATCCCGATGCCACAGTGAGAGTAGCCAGGGACAGGCTCACATGTGTTCCACCCCGATACGATCCACTTGGCTCTGAAATAGCAGAGATCCAGAATATCATTATTATATTGTCCTTTCAATTAATTTACATTGTTAACTTCATTCTACACTAGAATGAGTGAGTGAGTGAGTTTAGTTTTACGCCACACTCAGCAATATTCCAACTATATGGCAGCGGTCTGGACCAGACACTCCAGTGATCAACAGCATGAGCATTGATCTATGCAATTGGGATGTGATAACATGTACTAAGTCAGCGAGCATGACCATCCGATTCGGTTAGTCGCATGGGTTACTGAAGATCAATTCTAACCCGGATCTTTACAGGTGTTACATGGGTTACTTTACAGACAGTGATATATAGTGTTCCCATGTTCATACCTTCTGCATGGCTTGAGATTGTTCACATCATCTCCGTCCAGCTTGATGACATCATGAAGCTTCTCTGGACATGCACGACCATTTCCAAGAGGAAGCTGTAACACTGAAAGTGTGCGGATCATGTACCCAGAGTTGATGCCGTGTTCTCCGTAGCAGCTGTTGTTGAATGGCTGTATCTGTGACCAGCCTGAGACAACACAGTCTTGTGGAATGATGCACGATTGATGCTGATGAAGAAGGGGCTCGGTCACTTTGTCTGTGCAAAATCTGAAACAGTAGATCAGCGTTGATAATGGAAAACATCGGTGTTGATAAAGGAGTGTCTTGGTGACTTTGTCCGAGCACAATCTGAAACAGTAGATCAGTGTTGATAATGGAGAACATCGGTGTTGAACTCAGTGTCTTGGTGACTTTGTACGAGCACAATCTGTAACAACAGATTTAGTGTACCACATGCCTACCATGATACTGAATTACAGTAAACCATTAACAAGATATTATTTTATAAAGAACACCTAATTACTAAGCTTATAGCAAAGCACTGTTAGTAAAGATGCCACCATTCAGGACAGACATCATCCAGTTAAGGTCCCAAGGCAGAGAACACCTGAATTTTAACAATTTATTAAACATGATCCTGAAACATTGTTGTAGATATTAGACAAACACTCCATGACTAAACATTGGTTTCAACAATGATAAACAACAACTGCATTCTCATCAACATCTTCACTGGTTCTCTGAGACCACATGAACGACAATGGGTCTTATGACGATCAGGCTACCGGACTCATCTCCTCACCACCGACCAACAGTCAGGCTCTCTGAGACCACATGAGCGACAATGGGTCTTATGACCAACAGTCAGGCTCTCTGAGACCACATGAACGACAATGGGTCTCATGATGATCAGGCTATCGGACTCATCTCCTCACCACCGACCAACAGTCAGGCTCTCTGAGACCACATGAACGACAATGGGTCTTATGACGATCAGGCTACCGGACTCATCTCCTCACCACCAACCAACAGTCAGGCTCTCTGAGGCCATCTGAAGGACAATGAGTCTCATGATGATCAGGCTATCGGACTCATCTCCTCACCATCGACCAACAGTCAGGCTCTCTGAGACCACATGAAGGACAATGGGTCTCATGATGATCAGGCTATCGGACTCATCTGCTCACCACCAACCAACAGTCAGGCTCTCTGAGACCACATGAAGGACAATGGGTCTCATGATGATCAGGCTATAGGACTCATCTCCTCACCATCGACCAACAGTCAGGCTCTCTGAGACCACATGAAGGACAATGGGTCTCATGATGATCAGGCTATAGGTCTCAGCTGCTCACCACCGACCAACAGTCAGGTTCTCTGAGACCACATGAAGGACAATGGGTCTCATGATGATCAGGCTATAGGACTCATCTGCTCACCACCAACCAACAGTCAGGTTCTCTGAGACCACATGAAGGACAATGGGTCTCATGATGATCAGGCTATAGGACTCATCTGCTCACCACCAACCAACAGTCAGGTTCTCTGAGACCACATGATGAGCGACAATGGGTCTCATGATGATCAGGCTATAGGACTCATCTGCTCACCACCGACCAACAGTCAGGTTCTCTGAGACCACATGAAGGACAATGGGTCTCATGATGATCAGGCTATAGGACTCATCTCCTCACCACCAACCAACAGTCAGGTTCTCTGAGACCACATGAAGTACAATGGGTCTCATGATGATCAGGCTATAGGACTCATCTGCTCACCACCGACCAACAGTCAGGTTCTCTGAGACCACATGAAGGACAATGGGTCTCATGATGATCAGGCTATAGGACTCATCTGCTCACCACCGACCAACAGTCAGGTTCTCTGAGACCACATGAAGGACAATGGGTCTCATGATGATCAGGCTATAGGACTCATCTCCTCACCACCAACCAACAGTCAGGTTCTCTGAGACCACATGAAGGACAATGGGTCTCATGATGATCAGGCTATAGGACTCATCTGCTCACCACCAACCAACAGTCAGGTTCTCTGAGACCACATGAAGGACAATGGGTCTCATGATGATCAGGCTATAGGACTCATCTCCTCACCACCAACCAACAGTCAGGTTCTCTGAGACCACATGAAGGACAATGGGTCTCATGATGATCAGGCTATAGGACTCATCTCCTCACCACCAACCAACAGTCAGGTTCTCTGAGACCACATGAAGGACAATGGGTCTCATGATGATCAGGCTACCGGACTCATCTCCTCACCACCGACCAACAGTCAGGCTCTCTGAGACCACATGAAGGACAATGGGTCTCATGATGATCAGGCTATAGGACTCATCTGCTCACCACCGACCAACAGTCAGGCTCTCTATGCCATACACATTCCACACATGATGTACCTTGGCATGGAGTTATCTCAAGCATGACATCCTTACCTTGTCAGCTTGTGACAGGATTAACCTCTTAAGTCATGTGGACAAGGAGCCTACTTTCGACCAGAAGGTCCATGGTTTGAATCCCATCACATTATACTTTGATTGATACTTATAAGATTTAAAGTTATTTATCTCTCTGTATGTCAATGTTGATCTTTACAGTGAATCCAGAGTACTGCTGGATGTGTCATCAGGCAACACTTACATACAAACTGTGTGAGTGGTGGTACTCCCAGAGGAGCAGGACACACTTACATGGGGCGTCAACACTGATTGTAAGACTAACGCTTAGTCTCTGAATATATATATTCCCATTTAATAATATAATCCCATTTGATAATATAATCCCATTTGATAATATAATCCCATTTGATAATATAATCCCATTTAAATTGAAAGGATCCCCAGAGAGATGTGAGCCTGAGGAAGTCTAGACTTCCTTCATTTAGGGATTTTTCATTGTAGGTAGCGTTAGGAAGTACAGGAAATAAAATGTGGTTCAGGGACTGGGAGACAGACTACACTGATTGTCAGTAATCAATACATATAATCATCATCACTATTTTTCTGTTTACACCTAGTAGACTCTGATTTGACAGAGAAACAATAATGATTATGGCTCACTGGCAAATTCTTCAACACAGGAGGATGTTCTTTTCCAAGCAATCTCAAGACCTTCACAATTTAGCCTAACCTGACCTGGAGATATTGTCTTTAGTGTCTGGTCGATATTATCATATAAAAATATAATAAAGGTTTAATTCAAAGGTTCAGACAACTAGTTTGCTAAAATTTTAGTCCTGAAATTGTATCATCATAAACAAAAATAATAGCCTTATGATCTTGTTTTACTATGGACTTTGTTCAGCACAATGAATATCCAATCACTGGTGGGGGATGATAAACTGATATTGTCACTGTCACGTATCACCACTCTACACAGCCAATCAATGCAAGGATAATAAATGATGCCACGCTTTGCCTGAAGGAGTTTATGTGATCAAATTTGAAACGGTTTCTTTAAATCAATAGTTTTTCATCAAATATTATTGACATTAAGTAACAGATAGAAATATATAATACACAGAGGATAATTTATGATAGTTGTCAGTTATGCAGGTTCTCTTTTCAAGTGGTTACAATTTATATTTTCAAGTGAGACTCTGTCTATCATCATTCATTGACTTAAATGCAAAATTTATATCATCCTGGATAATATACAATAAATTTGTTAACTGTATCACATACAGTGGTATTCTATTGTTCACCCTAAAATTTTGAGCTAAACAGATTGTGGCCTAAGTGTTATAAATGGCCTAGTGGTATGGTTTCAGCTGATACTCCTCGGAACATACTGTTATCAACAGATGTGCAGGTGTTGCTTCTCACAGAATGAAGAAACCATTTAAACATATGATGAAGAAAGAACTCTTCATACTTTGTAAGCCAGAAGATATCTGCTTGTAACCTCAAACAGAAGTTTATACAAGTGGTTAATTTCATTAGGAAATACTCATACATAATTTTCCAAGAATAAACATCAATGACAGATACATAAACCAGTGCTCGTTATGTTGAATGCATTAAGGATTGTGAAGACAATGTTTCATACAAATCTGAATGCCAATAGCTCAGATAAAGAGAAAGGAGATATATTTCAGGGTCTCTAATCTCCACTTCCTTCATGCTTGCAGGAATGCCCGTTAATATCCGTTCTCGCTTATACACAAAAACAGATTCCAAAATAGAATGACATAATTAGCCTGTCAGGAGTAAAGAGAAAAGTGTACTGCATGTTTGATAGCTGTACATATTAATCAGACCCGAGGCAGCTGGATACCAATTACGTTATATGAATGGCCACTACAGGAAACCCTTTTCTCTTCCTCCGGATCCTCCAGAGAAGGATGTTTCCAAGTTTTATACCACACAAGGCCATATTCCATCCATGTACATATTGGCACAAGATAATCCTGTCATTAGGACTGTTCCAACATTGTTTAAGTGAAGAAAGTATCTCAGTAAGTGGTGTAAACTCTTGGCACTGTCCATCCTGGATGTAAAAAATATGCCAGTAATCACACTAAACACACAAGGCACAATGAGGTGGGGAAAAAGTGTAGTTACCTGAAAAAAATCAAGTTAATTCATAGGCAGGAAACATTTTTTGTAAATTGGCTTACAGGAGCGTGAATGAATGAGATTAGTTTTACGCCGCACTCAGCAATATTCCAGCTATATGGTGGCAGTCTGGAAATATTCGAGTCTGGACCAGGCAATCCAGTGATCATCAGCATGAGCATCAATCTACATAATTGGGATACGATATGTGTCAACCAAGTCAGCGAGCCTGATAACCCAATCCCGTTAGTCGCCTTTTACGACAAGCATGGGTTACTGAAGATCAGTTTTAAGCCGAATCTTCACGGTGGCTTACAGGAGCAATGATGTTTTATAAATGTGATGCTTCATGGTGGTGCATCCAGAGATTTTTGGGAAACACTATACACAGGGATGTATTATTACAGGAAGTGTGATACATCAACTAGAGTAATGATGACGAGATTATCCTTGCTCTGATTACCTATCTCCATGACAAGAGATAAATAACTCAGCAGCAATTTTATACAGGTGTAAAAATGAAATATTTTTAGTTTCAAAATCTCAAAAATACTATATCTCAGTGTTTGCATTGTTATTTTTGTTTGTTCAGTCCATGTTTGCCGCCCAAGCTTCCACTCAGCTTGAACTGTTAGAAGCACTCATAAAAGGTGATAAGCTGGCCCACAAACCAGACATCAGAAACTCAGCA